CGTACAAGACTGTATATTTCTGAATGTGTTGTGGTCCTGTACAATTAGGGTTTACGGATTTTCACATACGTCATAGTTAAATAGCGCCGTTAAATAACCAACAACAAAGTGCAATAGGTCGTGAAGGCCCACAGGGTTGTGAGACGTCGAGGCTCCTACATTTCCTAGACAGTCCGTCCACAGATGGCGGTAAGGTTGTCAGCCTTACCCACCGGCCTCTGTTTACCCACAGGAGTATTCCTGGTACTCATTTCTGCTGGAGGCTGAGTCGACCCCAGGGCCATAGTGCGGCTGGAAGGATTAGGTCAATTGAAAATATCTAGTGACCTCATCGGGGATCGAACCCGCGACCTTACAGCTTGTAGCATGGTGCCTCAAACCAACTACACTACCTCGTGTCCCCATTTCTGTTGAAGTAAAGTAAAGCTATCCCTGTAACAGGCCGTGGAGGCTCATAGGGTTGTGAGGTGTTGAGGTTCCCACATTTTCTAGACAGTTGGCTCACAGATGGCGGTGAGGTCAGTCTTACGCGCCGGCCGCTCTTTACTCCCCAGGAAGATTCCTGGTACTCATTTCTGTTAGAGGTTGAGTCGACCCTAGGGCCATAGTGCGGCTGGAAGGATTAGGTAAATTTAAAAATCCACCTCATATTGATTCGAACTCTCGACCTTCCGTAGTACAAAATATTATCGACGCGTCACGTAGTGTGCTCTATTTATTTGTGTTATTAAAGCTAAGGCAATTATTTCTTTATGTTGATTATGAATCACGCCGAAGCATACAGAATGACTGATGAAGGATGATGTTATCTTTTGACGTAGTTGTTGTCACTGCGCATCGGAGGCGTCGATGGGTTGCTAAATAGAGCGGAGAGAGGATTGTGAAAGATTACTTTGAGCATAAAAGCGTGTCAGGTCTGTTGGACTTGTATCGTGCGGTATTTGTCCTTAACATGTTTGGCAGTACGAAAATAGCCTCATCGCCGATTTTGATTGGATAATGTTTGTGGCGTGGGAGATCCCACGCTTTATTTATAGGTTTACAGTCAACTGCTGTACTGGTTAAACATATCAGAAAGTTTAAAGCTGAGGTTAATTCGAACTGAAAACCGACGTAACCTATGTACGTGTTTCTCTGCCAGTGAGCCATGGCTACTTGGCCTCAACTTGTCGGCCAGCAAGTAATTTTTCTCCGCTAGCGAGCCACCTGTTCTTGGCGGGTTGGCTCCAGCTTCCCATCTAATGAGCCATTGTGTCTCAGCCAGCGAGCCATTGTTCATTGGCAAACTGGCTATTGTTGATTGGTCAGTGAGCCACCTCTTCACGGCAGGTTGGCTGGAGCCTCAACCATTAGCCATCATGTCTGAGCCAGTGAACAATTGTTGATTGGCCAACGAGCAATTGTTGATTGGTCAGTAAGCCACTGTCTGCTGGCCGGCGAGCCACCTCTTCACAGCAGGTTGGCTCGAGCCTCTCAACCATTAGCCATCATGCCTGAGCCAGTGAGCAATTGTTCATTGGCCAACGGGCTATTGTTGATTGGTCAGTGAGCCACCTCTTCACGGCAGGTTGGCTGGAGCCTCAACCATTAGCCATCATGCCTGAGCCAGTGAGCAATTGTTCATTGGCCAACGGGCTATTGTTGATTGGTCAGTGAGCCACCTCTTCACGGCAGGTTGGCTGGAGCCTCAACCATTAGCCATCATGTCTGAGCCAGTGAACAATTGTTGATTGGCCAACGAGCAATTGTTGATTGGTCAGTAAGCCACCTCTTCACGGCATGTTGGCTGGAGCCTCAACCATTAGCCATCATGTCTGAGCCAGTGAACAATTGTTGATTGGCCAACGAGCAATTGTTGATTGGTCAGTAAGCCACTGTCTGCTGGCCGGCGAGCCACCTCTTCACAGCAGGTTGGCTCGAGCCTCTCAACCATTAGCCATCATGCCTGAGCCAGTGAGCAATTGTTGATCAGGCTGCGGAACCTAGGTTCGCAGTCAGTGAGCCACCATTTTCAGCCAGCAAGCCATTGCTTCTCTGAACAGTGATACAGGCACCCACCCAATGGGCGATATAATGATATCTTTTCTGTCATAAAGGATAACAACATTTTTTTCTTTCTTCGGACATTATGGAAAGTGTCAGAAAGGAATTTGCCATTTTATAACATGTGCCAGCACATAAGATTGGTATTTCATTCTCTGAAACATGATGCTGGGTTTACCATTCTGTATTTTTTAAAGGGATCTGATATTATTTTCCTGTAACCCTTTACAGATTTGGGTTTGAATGGTTAAAAACAAAAATATGTTTACTTTTGGTAATTTTTTTAGTTACTGCATGATCTTGGACGTTAAATATGCTACCTCTCTCCTGCACCTATATTGTCAGGAGTAGCCACGGTGATTGAAGAAAGGATTACAAAATATTCTGCATCATATGAAGACGTTATTGTTATTTTTTTTGGAGTATATATTTTTTTTTATTGCTAGTGGGGTGGGACTAAGTCCCTTGTACTGCGGCCACTTCTGGCCTATTGTACCAGCCCCAGATGATAGGTGAGGGTGATTGTGGAGCAGTTGGTGGAATGAAGATTGATAGGGGAAACCGAAGTACTCGGAGAAAACCTGCCCCAGCGCCACTTTGTCCACCACAAATCCCACTTGACCAGACCCGGGATCGAACCCGGGCCGCCGCGATGGAAAGCCACCCACTAACCGCTTGAGCTATGGCGCGGCCCTGGAGTATATACTTTGCATGGCTTGAAGACCTAAGTCTAGATGTTGGGATAGTACTTAAATAGGTCTTGGAGAAATCTGGGAAGTTGTGAAGTGGACTGAACTGACTGAGGTTTTTGATTCGGTGCCAGTTTGTGTACTGAACGTGGTGAATATTTCACCCAGCTGAATAACCTGTACATTTCTCCACTTACATGTCTTAACCAACGCGTGACTCCAGCAGTAGCAAAGACCTCTGATGTCACCCCTTTTCACTATTAGAAGCTGATTTAATGCTGTTTAAAAACAATTTAGTATTTCTTTCTTTCAGTTTTTTTTTATTTATTTAATTGTTTCTGGGGTTTGGATAGATCTTTTACTTTTCTTTACCTGTGACCGCCTCTGTGGTCTAGTGTTAAGAGTTCCTGGCTACAGATCCAGAGGTTCGGATTCGATTCCCGGCACCACTAGATTTTCTGAGAAGTAATGGGTCTGGAACGGCGTCCACTCAGCCTCGTGAGGATAACTGAGGAGCTATTGCAATGAAATAGCGGCTCCGGTGTAGAAAACCGAGATTAACTGCCGTCGGGATTCGTTGCGCCGGCCACGCGACACCCTCTATCCGCAAAATAGGTACCAGCTTCGCCGACAAGCAGCGGTCGCTCGGTCGGTATAATTCGCTTGTGGAGTAAAGCCACGGAGTTTTTTTTTTTGCCAAGCGTAGTTTGTTCTTATTTCTGGCTCATCTAGGATGTTATTTTTTGTTATTGCTTGTTGATGGGTTCTGTTAATTATTTGTTCCAAAGGCATATTGTAGCTGGTTTGTTGAAATTGGTACGGTGGTATTGGGACTATGAATTGCTGTTGCATTACCGGTTGCTCTAAGTCTATATCACGACCTAGTCCAGCTGCTGTCCACATGCCGCCCACCACACAGAAAGTCGGTTTGTTCTGCAGTTTCAGTAGAAAACAAAAGTTAATTATTATATTCTAACACAACACTTAAATCTTTTCAGTCCGCTTTCACTAGTCTTTGCCAGGTTATCGCTCTCAACAATGGTTACACCTGTATAATATTTTATCTAGGCGTATCCTGGTAACGAATCACCAGCTCATGTACTCACGTCTTCACTCTTCGAGCTCCAGATAGCGATAACTTTCGTATCTCTCATGTGAAAGAGGTTAAAATGATGGATTTGAGATTCTCGCATTGGTGGATATGAAACATCTTCTGGAATCTAACGCCATGTAAGCCAGTGAAAGTCAACTGGACTGCACAGCGCCATATTCCAGAAGATTGAACTTTTCTATAGATTAAGGCTGGGGCCCACACGATCGCACAAAATGCGTCCGTTGTAACGAACGTCGTGACGTCCGATGTAGAAATAAACAAGAGAGGAGAATGCGACGCTTTCTTCTGGCTCCATTGCAGCAAAAAACTACGCACCGCATTCTGCAACTGTGTGGTGTCCTCAGCAACGTCCGTCATAAAGTACGTTCGTTGCAACGGACGTACTTCGTGCGGTCGTGTGGCCCCAGCCTAAAATGCCCTGTTATTGTTTATATTTTTTATGAAGTTTAGTAAAGATGCATGTGGGCAGGGCATATAGCACGAATGGGGTAGAAGAGGAATGCATATAGGATATCAGTGGGAAAGCCAGAAGGAAAGAGACCGCTGGAAAGAGAAGGTGTAGATGGGTGGACAATATTAAAATGGATCTTAGAGAGATAGGATGGGATGGTATGGATTGAATTGATCTCGCTCAGGATAGAGACCAGTGAAGGCTCTTGTGAACACGGTAATGAACCTTCGGGTTCCAAAAAATGGTGGGAAATTCTTGAGTAGCTGCATATTTGGCTTCTCAAGAAGGGCTCAGCTCCATAAGTGTGATGCATATGAAAGATTAATTTCATATAATCATAATTTCAAGTATTAAAAGCTTATAAACTTGCATGAAGCAAGAAATAAACAATTTTATTATTTTATTATTCACATTCAGTTTTATTTTGACAGAAGCCTCAGTGAAGAAAGAGTAGTTCAGCTAGTAAACTAACAAATATTGTCTTTTTATTCCAGTTAGTGAAAACAAAAACTGCCAGTTCGATGTGTTATGTAAGTTCTTTGAATAACAGTAACTTATCTCGTTAAACACTTCCCTCTATAATCTTCAATCATTTCCCATGTACGGATATTTTCTTGAATCTTATACTGCACATTTATTGTGCAAATATATGTTTTTAAAGAACCAGGATGCTGACACTTAATTTGAAATTTGTTTGTTTCAGTTCCTGGGTGAGACAATCCTCACATACATGGAGTTCCAGCTGGACAGTGGAGAGTATTGCCAGGCTCAGCACAAATAAACTGTCATCGTCCTAGTTAAATCGCTCCTCAGGCAGACAGGCAGGCTCCGGACTTTTCTCCGTTGTTCTGCCCCATTCCACAAGGTCCAGAGAAATTGGCTATTGAGAAACCGCACCGGGCAGTGCTATCTGGTGAGCCCTACAGGAAGAAAACTCACCTTTGTTCAAAGTCTCTTGAATGGGCTGAAAACTGACGTCTATGATATAGCTCTGTCGTTGGAGTTCGAGCAAGGTGTTACCAGGTTGGATTGGTTAGGATTGACATGGGAGTATTTCGATATTAGGTTTAACATCCAGGTTAGGGAGTTGACCTCAAGAAAAGAAGAAGAAAGTGGAGGTAAGGGATCCCTGGCGGAGGAAAACAGAGTGTGGCTTATTTTCCGGGCCCATCAGGTCGCCAAATTCGGTGCGAGTTTTGTTTTAATATCGTGAAAATAGTGCGTGAATTTTTATTATACATAATATATACATACATACATATATATATACATATATACACATAAGTTTGTGTTGTGTGACTGCCTCTGTCTTGCAGATTTGGTAGTTCCCAAATTCCTGGCCTTTGGGTGAAAAAAAATGTTATAGAATTTTCAGTAAACATTTTAGATTTGAGTTTCATCTGATGGTCAGTATTGATTTGAACTCTTCAAACTATACCCTTTGCCAGCCAAATATTTTTTTTTAAAAAGTACCAATATATTTTATTTTTAAATAAACAGTTTTGTTATATGTAGTGCTGTGCTAAAGTGTGAGTGAGTTTAAAGTGAAAATAACTCTAATTTTAGTTCTGTTTCTCTGTTTTCTTTGCTAGTTTATTTGGTCAGCCCCACGATTCTTGCATATCAAGAAATATAGACACGGTATGGTTTTTTAAGTTCTTCAGTCAAGCCAAACATATGTGATAGATCTGAAATATTTTTTTCCTGCATAAGACGTCACTGGTAACTCATCTCATAAGATATTTTTTGGTTCTCTGACAAGTTGGACTAATAACACGTCACCTGACAAGACTTGTTTAGTTTTTGGCTTGACAGTCGACAGTGTTTACCTGTTTTATCTTCCAAGTGTGTCAAAAACATGCAAATCCTACATTAAGGGCATCAAACAGTTACCTTCCTGTTTTACTTGTTTTGAAAAGGGACTGGAGTACCTTTTTCTTTTGCCATACTTCCCTCGAGTCTTCTGGTCGAGCAGTATTGCCAACTTGATCATCCAACACTGCTGCAAGTGAATACGAGTGTTCAGTTTTTTATAAATATATATATATATTTTTTTTTACTTTTCGTCACTGTGAAATGTCAGTGAGTACCACAAACATGCGTCTCAAAGATATCCGGCCCGCTCCTTGTGAGATTGAGTATAAGAACATGAAATTCCTCATCACAGATCGGCCCACCGACCAGAGCATCCACACCTACATTCAGGTATGAATCTTACAGATACCAATTCTCACGTGTTTTTATTATTAATGCAAGAAATGGGAGTTGAAGAGATTATATGAAGCCTTCCATATCGAACTAAATATTTGTTTGCCACTCCTCACTTTCATTTGAAAACATTGGTGTGTTGCATATCAGTTAAATTACAGGATCTTCCAAAAAGAATGCTACAGTTTTAAATTATTTTGTGTTAATTATTACCTGAAAACGATTTAATATATTTCAAAACATAGAATAACTCCTCAAGTTTCATATCTGTTCATTACAGTTCCTCAGTATGTGCACCTCGTGTCACATGGCGCACATCCAGCGGCTTGGCAATTTATTAACAACTGTTTTTATCCCTCACAAGACAACAATTCTCAATACTCTCATTCATATCAAGTGTGTACAGTGAGTTTATTTATCTAAGTGGTATTACTTGCTACATGTTTCAGCTTATTAAAAAGGCAAATATACACAAATAACAATTTTCTTAAAATATTGAATTGTGTTTCACATAAGTATATGTATTACACTATTACAATTATCAGTGTATCTTGTTCTATTATAATAGTCAATACGTTTGACATGTCAGAATCATCACTATATCTTTAAACATATTAAAAAATATTAAATTTTTTTGGATGCTTACAAATATTAATAAAATAGTATAAAATATATACAATAAGTTAATGAGGTTTTAAATTTTAAAATTATAATGTAACAATATAATTAGATGTTTTGTATTTAGTCATTTCATATTCTGTTTCACGCTAATGTTATCTGCTGTAATCATGAAATTATATCAAGTAGTGACTTAATGAACATTGTTTTGATTATGTCTTAGTTTTTATTTCTTTTCAGTTTTTCCAATGAAATGGTTGCGCTGTTTGAGAGTGATGTTTCATTTTCGGTATTTTACTATATATGAATTTTCCTGTGTTGCAATGTTCAACTTTCGTTGAATGTCAGATTACAACCATGTTGCAATAAACTGACCGTACGCACTTGATGTGAAAGAGACTGTTGAGAGTTGTTGTGTTGTAATGGATAAAAACATTTGTTTTACATTAACACAACAGGGTGCACTGCATGAAGATTACAAATGTTAGTCACTTTCATGCCAGACTTGCTGCAACATATCTGTTGTTACTCCTCCCAAAGCAGCCACAGTTCGATTCTGCAGCTCCTGCAAATTTCTGGGCAATTGTGGCACACAGCCCCACAAGAAGATATATATATATATAAAATAATTTTCAGGTAATAACATAATTACGTTATTTTAAAATGGTAGCATTCTTTTTGGAGGATGCTGTATTTTCTAGACACATAAGTTTGAATTGATATTTTCATTATACTTTACTACAGCATGCTAATAAGGACAATATTTTATTTCTACTGTGTTCTGCTAGGATGGGAAACAGGATAAAATGAATTATTATGTAAATGATACTGTATTAATGATGGTAAATTCAATTAGAACACGTGTATTGTCATTTTATCTCTCTAATTTGCAATTTACTTTGTGTTGACATCCTACATATGTCAGTTCTCTGGGAAATCATTAATCTGGGACATGATTTGATCATGTGAGGAACTAAATAGCCAGTAAAAATGTCTGCTATTGTCTTGTATGTATAATTCTTAGAATTATTTTTATTGCATTATATATATATATATATTCATCAGTAATCTGTCATATGACAGGTCCACAGTCTCTTCCAAAACAGTTCCTCCACTTAATGCGCTCTAGAGCTTTCTCCTTCAAATAAAAATATCCTCTTCTGTCCCCAAGGTCATCCAGCATCTTCTTACGTCTTTTTCCTCGTCTTCTGGTCGCATACATAGTATCTCTGTTTTTGGAAAGAGACTATCCAGGAAAAGTGATATAGTGAAATTGGGGCTGTGCCAGATCTCAGGCAGTTAGTTGCTGGCTTTACACCATGGCTTCCTGGGTTTGATCCCAGGTCAGGTCATGTGGGACAGGTTCTGAGTTTTTTGGTTTCCCCTGTCAATTCACATTCCACAACTGCTCCATATTCATTAATCATCCTGTCATTGATGGTATACATTTTCAATACAGACATCATTAAATAACAGAAAGGAAAAATGCAGAGGGACCCCAATTAACGTTTCTTTGAGAAGCGGTAGAGTTGAATACTAAACTGAGGGAAATTTTAAATGGGGGAAATCTAATAGTAAGATTACTGACTGCAGGATCGTTGAAATTGATACAATAAAAGAGGGAGAATTAATTGGGGCTTCAACTATAGGGAGAAATTTCTTAGTTTATATACGTGTACTTAAAAAATGAAATAACTGGAGTCCTATACTTCAGTTGCTAACATAGAGACTGTGTCCTCGAACCTGGTCTAAGAGATTGAAACATGCTGGGCAAACTTCCATGTATGTATTGTATTATGATGGCTTAATGTGGCATTTTAATTAATTTGATTATTCTACAAGTGATAGCTTCATTCATTTCATTCATCCTTAATCTGCCAGTGCCGTTATGTAGCACTGGACGTCATATCCGGCTTCCTAGGTAGCGGTTTTCCTATGTTTTCGTTGTCCCTTAAGATAGCTTCAAGGCACATAAAATTATATTCACAAGAAACTTAATATTACAAACAGACAGAGAAAAATGAAATAGACCAAAAATGTTTCATATAAAATTATAGTTTTGTATAACTTGTCTTTTTTTATTGCTAGTGGGGTGGGACTAAGTCCCTTGTACTGTGGCCACTTCTGGCCTATTGTACCAGCCCCAGATGATAGGTGAGGGTGATTGTGGAGTAATTGGTGGAATGAAGATTGGCAGGGGAAACCGAAGTACTCGGAGAAAACCTGCCCCAGCGCCACTTTGTCCACCACAAATCCCACTTGACCAGACCCGGGATCGAACCCGGGCCGCCGTGGTGGGAAGCCAGCGACTAAGCGCTTGGGCTATGGCATGGCCTTTGTATAACTTGTTACCGTATGTTTTTGGAATTACTTCATGTGATATGGTGACCATTGCATGTAAGCATGACACTCTTGCAGTCTTCTTACTGAATACTGGAGTTGAGTTCCAGCCTGGAGATGGATTTCCCGTCATTTTACGCACTCCCTCCAGGGCTGTACTGAAGTAGTATTAGGCCGCATCCATCTTCCTTCCAAATCCTTTCCACTTCATTATTTAGTAATCATCCTGTTATTTGGTGCTATATAAACTGAGTCAGCAGTAGCAAGGTTAGCAAACTGCACTTAAATTATTGCCCTTATGTTCTGTTGCATGTAGATCATTGAGCAGGTGGCTCAATTGACAAAATTTCTGATGTGTAGAATTTTATTTTTGATTTTCTTTACTCTATACCATGCAGCAATGTTAAAATTTAGAATTAAATCCCTTTAGCATTCGTCACTGCACTACATGTTTCAGCCTACTTGGCCATCGTCAGGTGCGTTGAAACTTGCGGGAATTTCTGTGCCTTCAGCACGAATGCAGTGGATGTTTTATTATTTATAATGTTTCTAAATGAAGTCATTCCCTCCAGGAAGATGCCAGGAACTACACCAACTTCATTTATAAACATTATAAATACAAAAACATGGATCGCATTTATGCTGAAGGCATGGTACTTCCCCCAAATTTTAGTGCACCTGATGAATGTCCGATTAGGCCAGAACATAGTGCAGTTGACAGATTTTAAAAGGGTTTAGTTTTAAATCTTAACACTGTTGTGTGGGCAATGGTAAACAAAACCGAAAATAAATTCTACTACCAACTGCAACGGGATGTTAAAATACAACATTTGTGATCTGTATTCAGGACATGCTAGTTTTGAATCTTGACTGGGACATCAACTATCCTGATGGTTTTCATGGTATTCCTCGGACCCTCCAGATATATGCCAGGAACTGAGTCCTTGGGAAGCTGCCAGTAACTCAGCTACTAAAGAATTCCCTGACATTTTATGGAACCTGAAGGTTCATTACCATGTTTATAAGAGCCCTTCACTGATCTCTATTCTGAGCCAGATGAATCCAGTTCTTACCACTCCATCCTATATCTGTGTTTCGCTTACTTTCCTTTGAAGAAAATAAAGGAGTTTTATGAGATCACCTTATTGTCTGTGTAAACCCCCCCCCCTAATTTTTTTGGTTTTGTGTGTGGTCCATGTTGTATCAAAGGGAAGTAGGCAATTAGTTCTTTTCTTGTTACATTGTCTGCCTATCTAATGTCAGGTCTTCATGGTGGTCTCTTTGCTTCTGGCTTTCCCACCAAAATCCTATATGCATTCCTTTTCTCCCCAGTGTGTGCTACATGCCCTGCCTATAGGCAAATGCCAGGATAATTCTTACCCAGTCATTTGGCATTATATAATCAGAGCTGCTGCCAGGCCATTAAATCTCCGTGGCTTCAGCCCACAAGCAAACTATACCGACCGGGTGACCGCCACTTGTCAGCGAAGTTAGTGGCAACTTTTGCGGATAGAGGGTGTCGCATGGTCAGCGCAACAAACCCTCATGGCCGTTAATCTCGGTTTTCTAGACCAGAGCCGCTATTTACTTGAAATAGCTCCTCAGTTATCCTCATGAGGCTGAGTGGACCATGTTCCAGACCCACTACTTCTCAGAAAATCTGGTAGTGCCGGTAATCAAACCTGGAACCTCTGGATCTGTAGCCAGGAATTCTGACCACTAGACCACAGAGGCGGTGCCATTAAATAAATAGAAGTAAATAATAGAGCAATATACTTTGTCCCTGAAGTTGAAGCCTGGCTCCTTCATGGTTTTCACATGCTGTTGCCCAAGGCAGGGAAGCTGTGCCAATCTGGGCAGCTTCCAAGAGTCTGGGCAAGGATGGGCTATCTGATCCATGTGCCCTACCTAAAACATACGAAACAGATGGCCCGTGTGGCAAACATGAGTACATATTTGGGTAGGGTGCTTCTGGAGGCAGTATGTATGGTCTCTGTGGTAAACAGTTGTTACTCGTAAGGGGAAAATGGAGATATTAATGGCAAGCAAATGTAGTCCTTTAGAAATACTATCTTATGGGATTTAATCATGTTTGATCATAGATATTTATACCATTGCTTAAGTGGAACCTGCTTCATCCTCAGGAAAGAAGAGCAAGGAGCAGTAGGTTGGTAAAAGTCTGCAGGACTACACAGGGCCACACACCAAAAGACAGTCTGGGTTGTCACTGCTTTGAGAGCTCATCTTTTTTAATTTGTAGTTAATTGAAGGGAAGTACAATGAGCATTAAAAGACCTCGTCTTTTGTGCAACATTTGTGTTAGTAGCAGTAGAAGTGTTTGTACTATTGGGTACAGAGTTCAGATGCAGCCCAGAAGATGGTTTTGGTTGGTCTTCAGACAATGCTTCAGGCACTGTTAACGAAACTTTTTCATAGTTTTTGGCCAGTTCTCTTTATTTTATAGGGGAAAATGTGTTTATTCATCTCATTTCTTTCTGTTCCCCCCCCACCTCAAACTCATTGTTAGTAATTCACAGAAAGGTTATATTATTGTTGCGGATAGCTATCTGTAACAGGCCATGAAGATCCATAAGGTTGTGAGACGTTGAGGCTCCCACATTTTCTCTAGACATTCGGCTCAAAGATTGCAGTAAGGTTGTTAGCCCTACGTGCCTGCCGCGCCTTACTCCCCAGGAAAATTATTTATTTAATTCCTGGTACTCATTTCTGTTAGAGGCTGTTGACCCCAGGCAAATATTGAGGCCAGAAGGATTAGGTCAATTGAAAAAATCCAATGACCTCATCGGGACTTGAACTCGCAACCTTCTGGCTTGTAGCATAGTGCCTCAACCAGCTACGCTACCGCAAGTTTTATTTCACATTTCTTCATCAGCATTGTACCTATTATTCTTCTCTCAAGTAGGATCATTAACCTCTAATTGCCATGTAGGACAACATTTTCCCACATTTGCTGTACATTAAAGGTTAAGGGGGAACTGTTTTAGTTGAAAAGGCAAGTTGTCTGTTAGCGATTTTGGTGGCCATCCAAGTGTTCTTCATAGAGGATGACTGGACATTGCAGGACAGTGAACAAGGCTTATGCTTCATATTAGCAATGCTGAGGTGTAAAGCTACCATTGATTTTTGGGAAAGAATAAAATAAAATTGAAGTAAAGAAAAAATATATCACATATTAATAATAAAAATTGAAGGTATTTTTGAAAAAAGAAATCTTATGTCCTGAATAATCTACAGTATGTGGTCAAAAAATAGTTTGAAACAGCTCAAGTTAAGTTTGTAAACAAATCTTTTGTCTCCCCCCCCCCATTAGGAATTGAAGGCATTTGTGGTGTTCATGTATTGACCAATCACCAAATCCTTCAATTTCAAGGCAGAAGCACAATCATTTATCAGTGCAAAAGTTAGTTTTGTAAATGGATTGGAATATCCAATACAAAGTTGGTTTCAGGTTTTTCTGTACACTTAGTGGTCTCCAGCTTCAGTTTGAAGTGACTGGCAGTAAGATTGGTTCTCATATTTATGACCTATGAGAAAGTTCACCAATCAGAACATAAGAATTTCAAAAAGATTGATCAGCTAGACTGCTAAGCAGTGTCATTATGTCTAAACACTTAAAACATCCTTCAAATAAACCATGTTGTAAACCTTAAACAAAAAGATTTAAGTTTTCTCTGAGGCAAAGCAACACGCTTTGAAGACATCTAGGGGCATGGAGGTAAACATTCACACATTTTAGACCTCAGAATTAAATGTAGATGGTCAACATCACATTTTGTTGTTTAAACAACCATTATTTTCCATCAACACTTCTGCCATGGTGACACTGTACGAGAAGCTTTATTTCTCTGTTCTCCCATAAGTGCCCCTCCATTTATCTGTGTTTCCGTTTTCCTTACTCTTGTGTCCTTGGTCTCCTTGTCTTCATCTTTGGTTCTGTCAGAGGAATCCTTTTGTCATTCGGACATAACACATGTCTGTATCGCTCTTCCCTTAATTTGAGCATCTGTTCTTGTAGTGTGATCTGAAGCTATCACAGCAGATGAATGCATCATAATCTTCTCGGGCAGTCCATCATGTCAAAATTGAGTTACAAAACCGAATTCTGGGCAACCAAGGTGGTTGTGAGACCTGAATGTAAGTCTCGGCAAGTCTCCAGAACATTGTTTTCTGACTCAAGTTTTGATCCAGCTGATCACCTGAGAAGATCTTAGTGTGTTCTTATAGTATTTGTGCTTTCAGATCTTGCCTAATGCCATTGTTATCTATATATATTTTTATTGCATATTTTTTATTTCTTGACTTTCTGTAAAAAAGATGAGAAATCCCTGTAAGATTTCGGTCTAGCAGGAACAAGGTATAGAGGCCATGTGGGTGATCCTAGATACAGCTGAGAGATTGCTATCAGAATTGAATCTTTGAGAAACAGAAAGTGGGAACTGCATTGAACTGGCTCATGGTAGATTCTTATGGCAGATTCTTTTAAGATGGCAATGAACCTTGAAGCTCCTTAAAACCAGGGAGTTTCTTGATTGTATAAGAATCAGCTGTCCATCGAAGATCCTGAACTTTGAAAGAAGAAAGTCTGTGGGCAGAACATTACATTTAACTTGGTTTTCAAGTTCTTGCATTGTGGGTATTGAGAATGGCTTAATTATATCTTCAGGAGCTGAAGAAGCATAAAGTGAGAGACGTGGTCAGAGTCTGTGAACCGAGCTACAAAATTGAGGAGCTCAAGAATGAAGGCATCAATGTGACAGACCTCGAATTTGATGATGGAACACCTCCACCTGTTCAGGTAAGCTACATTCATCACCACCTTGTTTTCTTCATAGTATCTCTCCAGTACATGCTACATTCCCTGCCCATGTCATAATAACTGGTGAAGAATATAGGCTGTGAAGCTGCTCATTATGTAGATTTCTGTAGCCTCTGTCTTGGGTATGGATGTTTTCAGTGGAATCTTGTTGTCAAGTACCCTCAATCTGTGTTCATTAATATGAAAAACCAAGTTTCACACCCAGAAGAGATAGAGCAGTTTAGAAGACAAAATATTCCCTGACTTAATCTACTCATAAGTGCAAGGATAGCTCAGTTGGTATAGCGAATGGCTAAGGGTTGGATGACCAAGGGTTCAAAGTTTGAGTTGCGGTGGGGGCAAGAATATTCACTTCTGCACATCGTCCAGACTAGCTCTTGGGTCCACCCAACCTCCTATCCAGTGGTTACTGGGGGTAAAGAGGCAGACACTCACTCCAGCTAGTGTGGAGGTCAAGAACATGTGGATCTATACATCCACTCCCCCATATGCCTTCATGGCATAGTGCTTAATTTGTTAAGCTCAGGGAATTTACCTTTTTAATCTACTCTTCATTTATTTATGGGTGCAGTTTTGATTTGTTACTGCCGTTATGAAAACCTTTCCGTGTTCTTTGATGGATTTGTTATCTGTCTTTATACTATGATTTTGTTGTACATTCTAGCGATGAGACATTGTATGCTTAGTTTATATAGCTGGTTGAGGCTCCTCGGTTTATCGTATCTGGCACATCTGCCCTTTTACCTCTCACCCTATGCATGTATGAGGGGCCGTCAAATGAAAATGGGTCAGGAGCCAAAGCATATTAAAGAACATTTCTTACCTCAAAAGTAATCTCCAAAACTGCTAATACATTTATCCCACTGGGAGATAAGACGGTGAGTTGATGTGGAACCCACTGCATGCAGATTTTGCAGTACAGCAGGTGTTTTGTCACGGTGGTGTGTACGGAACCGTGACTTATTCCCATCAAAAGACTAATTTCTTCCACAGTGATCCATCGGTTTGCCTGGATATGACCATCCAATGCAGCAATAACATCAGGAGTGATGACACGATGAGCCTGTCCGGGGCGAGCATCATCTTTCAGTGACACGCATCCCTCTTGGAATCTCTTATGCCATGCCAGCACACGCAAACGTGACATGCTGTGTTTGCCGTAAACAACAGACATGCGACAATGAATTTCTCGTCATCCTACTCCTTCAGCAGTCAAAAAGCAAACTACACTTCACTGTTCTTCTTTACCCGTCTCCATTACTGATGTTGGATGACCACACGTAGCGCTAACCTTACTTCCAGCGCAATAAACAAATGACTAGTGTGCAAGGGCACGTTGCCACTGTGTTTTCCCCAAGTCCCCACCAGATGTTTGTACCGTAAGCAAATTCCAGTGTTATCAGCTTGTGTGCCGTTTGAGTTATGCGTGGTGACCCGTCTTCATTTGACTGCCCCTTATATGTCACTGTTTTACCACTGGTTTTAGGCAGTATTTTCTATAATTTCAAGTACATATTCAGTATTTAAATTAATTGGAAACCAATTTTTGACCGAGTTTTCATGTGATGATTTACAGCCTTTTTGTAAAACAGGGAATTACATTCATATGGTCCATGCCACAGGTGTGTGCAGTTGCTCTGAGCATATTCTTACGCATAATTTGATAAGTATTTACATGTAATGAATGATATCGCTTTTGTAAAATGAATTGATATACACACGATTAGTTCAGTTTGATATGCAATGCTGTGAGCTCTATTTTATGTGAGATTTGATGGATACGTTAGTCATGTTAATGCTCTTTGTATTAACATTTCTGTGAAGTGGTAGTGAATTTGTTGGTAAATTACAGATAGTTGAAGAGTGGTTTGAGTTACTGAAGAAGAGGTTCCGTGAAAACCCTGATTCCTGCGTAGCTGTGCATTGTGTAGCTGGTCTGGGTCGGGCCCCTGTCATGGTGGCACTTGCACTAATCGAGCTTGGAATGAAATATGAAGATGCAGTGGACTTCATTAGGCAGTGAGTACCCTAACCTCTCTGCATGATAAAATATGCTTATATTACTGGGGCGGCAAATTATTTTTGTATATGGCCAGATGAGGCTATTCTGAAAAGATTGCAGGCAGAACAGAAAACGTTGCATTCAGCATTTGGGTGTATTCATTGCTGTGGGAATATATTTACTGAGGAGCCATTGCCAAGCAACGATTTGGGAGGGGCGCTTGAATACGCACGCACGCATGCGCACAGACACACACGGGGCAAGGTGACCTCATAAGCCTCCTCTTAATTTTTGAAAACGAGGAACGTACGGTAAAAATTGGTAAATAGTTGTCAATATTTTGCGCTAAATATTTGTTCATGGAAGGGAAAAATATTATAGCATGTAGACCCGTTGCTAGGTAATGGCTCTGTAAACAATGCCCATTGCTAGGTAATGGCTACAGCATACATGCACACAACAATAGAAGAGCTATTGGAAGCGGTGTTCTCTCTGTGGTCCGTGCCAAGGCTACATGAGTAATTAGAGTGGAGTGAGTTCAGTTCAGTTAGTGGAATAGTGCGAGTTTGTTGGTTGGTGAGTGGCTTAGAGGACTCCTGCGACTCAGTCCTTGTGAGCTGTTGCTGTGAGAAGCTGGTAGCTGAGGCATGGGGACAGTTTGGGAACCCGGAGGAAGGGGAATGTCCGCTGTTGGAAGCCATTACCAGACAACGACTGGTGAAGACAGACTCAGACGACTTAATATGTACTGTATGAACTGCTGAGTGTATGAATTACCGATTTGGCTACAATTACTTGCAGTTACGATCTGTAAGTGTTCAGTAAATCCAATTACCAATCTAAACCCCATCTATAGTCACTCGTAACACGTGACAATGTTAAACTGACCCATATAATAGGTATTTCCCATCATGTCATTTTAGTTAAGGAAACAGTGAAGCTAGGTCTGCCTCGCTCATCAGATAAAAATATGACACCTGCTGTCTTGGGTCCATTAGTTTTAAGTTATTCTATATTCCCACAGAATACGTTTCATACTTTTATTTGATGATGGAAGCAGAGCCAGTTTTCAGACTTGTCTAATCAGAGTGAGATAATGGAAGATATCTATAATATGTTTTAGTATATAATTAAATTAAGGTGGCCCTTATAAGAATTAGTAAAACTTAATGTCATAATTCTAGTATGATAGAATTTCTGTACTTCCACGTTTCCTAGGAAATAGGGAAAGGGTTCCATATGTATAACCAAAGGTTCATGTAGGCCTCCAAGTTAAATGGCACTTAAAATTAATGCATGTAAATAAAATTCAGAATAATGGCCAAGTAATATAAGTGTCAAGTAATATTAAAATTTGTCAAAAGGCTGTAAGACATAAATAAAAATTTCCTTAAAAATAACCAACCAAACCAAAATGAATACAGCTCACCAAAATTTACTATTCATATAACATACTAGGTGATTTTCAGAATGCACTTGAAGACTTCACATTTTTTCTTTGACATTTAGTTTGTACAAAAATATTAATACATCTAGTTTTGGTAACATTTTTCGGTTATATTTGGGTCTAGAGATATGCCATGTAGTTTTGTATGCTAGGTTCCTCTGAAATATTGATATCTATGTACCAAAGTACATTATATTATAATGTTATATTTTAGCGTCCTGTTGCACTGATTTTCATTACAACACTCGCAGCTAAGAAGGGAACACACATCACAAGACGCGGTTTACACAGAAAATAAGAAAAACGACCCCATAGTGAACAAACCACATGCAAGTTTTAATTAAGTCAAATAAGATGAATTATTTTAACAAGTTTTAGCGAGTGTAAATTTATCATAGTTGACAAATACGGACTTTTTAAATACTTTTTAAATGGTGTTGTGAAAACATATGAGGGCAAGCAATGCAATAGATTGACGTAATTGGGACACCTGATGATGGCACTATGTTGCCGAAACATGTTGTGAAGTGACAGGTGAAATTGAGTGCACTACGAGATGGCCACTGTATACATATCATGGATACATTATGTTACACTGAAGATCATAATTTTAGTATTCATAGCCATGAAAACCTCAAATCTCACAACGGTTTGTGTATTTGAAATCGTGAAGACCTTTGTGGGCAAGCATTATGCCATAAGGACAGAAAAGCTACACAAATTTTGATCCTCAGCACTAGAGAGAAGTGTGGTTGACTTCACATACGTCACTTACCCTTGTAGCTGGCTGGGTAGAGGTAGAATGCACCTGAGAACCAGTTAGCACTTGATGACAGAAAGTAAATATGAAAAATACTGCATGAAGTCTCCCAGAATTTTACCAAAAAACTAAGAAAGAATATTGTTCTTACTGCATTTTGTAGGAATAAGCATGTAATAGAATAAATACATATGCTAGCATGCAGATTCTGAAGTGTTCTGATGATGGTATAACAGTCTGGATTCATTTCAAGTTTCTGAGCATAGTGTTCTTAGTTACATTTTTTGGATTTGTTTCCAGGAAGAGACGTGGTGCCATCAACGCAAAACAGCTGGCTTACCTCGAGAAATACCGTCCTAAGTCTCGCCTTAAACTTAAGAATGGCCACAAAAATGCTTGCTGCCTCCAGTGAGCCATGACAGACCAGTGCTGTATCCATCACATTAGGTTCTCTTATTTCAATAGGCAGAGGAAAGATGTTGCTTTGTTTTGTTTGGGTCATCAGTGACTTTTAATTGCTTGTACTGAGTAACTGTTGACTGAATAGACAATCTCCCCTTTTCAGACACACTTGACCTAAGTAATTTAGGGTGTCTGTAATAAATTTTTATTGGCTTCTGCTTTTATTCTTTTCAAATTCAAAATTGTATACAATTGTAGAAAATGTTTCTACAGAAACTTTGCTTTGGATTTAGGAATGGTATTATGAGACTGAATTAGGAGCATTTTCATAATTTGATTGCAGTTCTCATGCACCATAAAATGAGTGTTTTAAATTGGATTTTAATGACAGGTGTATGCAGTTTGTGGTATAGCATTGAAGTTGATACATAAGAGGGGGACTATGAAGAACAGGATGTTTGTCTGCATGATGCCAAGCTACTTGTAAATACTTTCGTGATCGAAGCACTGCCGAAAACGTATCAGGTTTTGTACAGTAATGAAACACTGTGTTCACAAAGAAAAAAATATATATATACGGAGTCCTAAAAAATTAAATTAGCATAAATTTTTAAGTAGTGCTGTGTCTGCATATTGATTTCTCATGTTGATTTGCAGCTCAAAGCAAAACACAGAAGATAGAGGGTAAAAATCTACATCAGATAATCAAAATTGTAATTTTCTATTCAAACTGTAAAATAAAATTAGAAAAAAGATCATATTATTTCAAAAATTTTTTTTACTTGGCAGTTTCGGCAGCTTTGAGCTGGGAGCGGAAATGATGGATCACCCAAGTCTTATATCTCTAGATACCTATAAACAACGCAGTTAGGCGTATTTATATATGGTATGTGATGTTAGAATATTCCTGTCTTTATTTTAATTTTATTTTCAATCTGTATAGGTTATCACAAACTTCTTCGTAGTAGCAGTTGAAAGAACATGGTTATTTTCTGTGTCATGCTCTAAATTTGTTTATCTAGGATAATGATTTTGTGTATATTAGATCTGTATATGTCCTTTTTGTTAACTTAGAAATCACAGGATTTTGAGTCTTTGAGAACACATTGACTGGTATAAATTTAATAAAACTGTGTTTCTTTTTGTTAAAGTTGGAAAATATCTTGCTGATAACCTGGGAGCCTGTCCAAAAATATTTTTGAATCATTAAATCTTGGACGTGTGAGTAATCTTGTGGGTATATATGAGTGAGAAATTTTATGTGTACAGTGAGCGATCATACCTAAGGGAATTAAACAAAATATATATGATTGATGGTCCTTTAATATGGTATATATTTGAATAATTTCACATTGCATTGTGATGACTGTCATACTAATATTAACTTGGAAACCCTATGTAATACTCATTTGGGGGAGATGTTTAAGGAATGAGGACTCCTTCATATTCAGCAGTTAATAAATTATATGAAATTAGTCCCCTTATTTTTGTGAATAGAATGAGGGAAATTATCACAGATTAAGTTCCTTGTATCTGGGTTAACCTGAAGAATTTTAATATTTATGTTACTTTAAGATAAACCTTTGAAGTAGAGGGAATGTCCTCAGTAAACATTCGTTTTTATTTCTTTTTATCTTAATAATGCTGGTATGTGCTAGTAACATTAAACAGGCTCCTTAAATGTGAAATTGAAATGTGTTCATAAACAGTCCAAGATCTTTGAAAAATTTAAAATTTGTATGAAAAGATAAGAATTTTAATGAAGTTTTAAAAGTCTGGAAAGTTGTAGTTGTACATGTGTAATGTCTATATTGCAGCCAGACCATAACAGTAATTCCCAGAGCTTTGCTTAGAACAAAAATTTATTAATTTTTTCCCCATCACATTGAAATTGTTTGTTGTTTCACACTTGAATGTAACAGACTTTTTAAAGAATGTAAGGATGGTAAAGTGCAGTAACTGAATTTGTCTTCTGCCAAAAAAGAAATTAATAAACTGATTTCCTGGAATGCTCTGCAATGAATTTCCTTCTGTACAGAACCAAAGTCTGCTTCCTGTGTGAATGAATTATGTGTCTCAAAACCTATTTCCACGAGTTCCATTCTGAAATTCTCCTTTTGACTTTGGTTTCCCAAGAGGCCTTCTCACCAAAATCTATATTGTATTTCTTCTTCTAAGGAATCTGCATCTACAGGGCCGTTGTTATTACAGAAGTTGAATATTATTCGCTGTCAACACAAATTCCATTATTGGACTGTATCTTAGGCTACTTCACACCAATCCATATTCTCAGAAACTGTTACCTTCAAATTCCTTTTAATATTCTCCTTTTTATAGTGTGTATATTTTGTACCTATAATAATTTTGTCCGTGTGGCACTAACTTCGCTGACAAGCAGCAGTTGCTCAGTCGGTATAGCTCGCTTGTGGACTAAAGTCACGGAGTTATTTTATTGTCTTGTTGCATGCTCTAAAATCTCAATACCATATGAAATTATGGTGTAACTCAGACGACAGAGGGCTTTCCTTTTTAATCTTCATATTTATGGGAAAGAGGCTTTGAGGTGAGTACAGCACCAGGCTGCCTAATCCATATGCAAATGTGTTTATTATATGTATTACAGAACAGTATACACAAAGCAGTCATAACAATTCAAACAGTTTACATTAACTGCTCAACCATTAAGCATCTGAATGAATTCACATGAACATGTCATCATAGCCTGGAGGGGGCAAGTGGTCTGGGTCAGGAATCCCTCGTGCAGGACCTCGTCCTCGTCCTGGATCAATATCTGGTGGTCCAAACGGATCAAATCGTGCTCCTGGAGGCACACTACCTCTGAAAAATATATCATTATTGTATCATAGCTCATATGGGTTTCTCTTTCACAGTAACATTATACTGTTGTTTATATTCTGCCTTTTAATAGTCTGGAATCATAGTGAATATGATTTATTTTTAGTTTATTTAAGTGTGTAATCGGACTTCTGTCCACATAAAAAGATAACGTCTGTTCACTGCATCATTTGACTTCAGTCACTGTGGGCTATGAAAATGCATTATTTTAAAAAGATAGAAAATAATATTCACCAAAAGGGTTAACAATGTCGCTTCAATTTCCTGGACTAGGATTGGATTGATGTGGCTCAAGATAGGGACAAGTGAAGGGCTCTTGTGAACACAGTAATGAACCTTCAGGTTCCATAAAATGCTGGGGAATCCTTGAGTAGCTGCAAAATTGGCGGCTCCTCCATGAGTATGTAAGTATAGGGGGCAGTCAAATGAAAATGTGTCACCATGCATAATTCACACGGCACGCAAGTTGCTAACACTGGAATTTCCTTATGGTATGAACATCTGGTGGGAACTTGGGGAAAGCATAGTGACGTGCCCTTGCACACTAGTCGTTTGTTTACTGTGCACGAAATAAGGTAAAGAAGAACAGCGAAGTGTAATGAGCTTTTTGACTGCTGAAGGACAAGACATTTGTTGCATGTCTGTTCTTTACAGCAAACACAGCACATCACGTTCGCGTGTGCTGGCATGGCATAACAGATTCCAAGAGGCACATGTGTCACTGCAAGATGATGCTCACCCCAGACAGGCTCATCGTGTCATTACTCCTGATGTTACTGCTGTGTTGGATGGTCATATCCAGGCAAACCGACGGATCACTATGGAAGAAATTAATCTTTTGATGGGAATAAATCACGGTTCCATACATGCCACTGTGACAAAACACCTGCTGTACTGCAAAATCTGCGCACAGTGGGTCACAGAGGAACAGAAAACTCAGAATGGCTGCATCACTTGCAATACCATGAGGAATACTCCCTGACTCTTGACAAATGATCAAAAGCAGTGGGGCATAAATGTGTGTCTTGAGCTATGAGAGAAGGCTAACAAGGACCCAGGTTTTATCTCTAGGGTCCTAACGGGTGACAAAAGTTGGATTTATGGTTGATACAGAAGAACTCACAGTCACCAAGAGCAAAAATGGGAGTTCATCAGAGAACATGCTCACTGTTATCTTTTTGACATTCAGGGGATTGTTCACCATGAATTTGTTCCTCCTAACACCATGGTCAACTCTGACTTATACTGTGACCTTTTGAGATGCTTGAGAGACAATTTGTGATGAAAAAGACCAGAACTTTGGCGCAACAACAAGACGGGCTCCATCACAACATGGTTATCACTCCTGATCCTTCATACTTGCCAAACTTAGCTCCCTGTGATTCTGCTTTGTTTCCCAAATAGAAAATGAAACTGAAGGGATGGCATTTTGAAACAGTGTCTGACGTCCAAAGAGAAATGCAAGCGGTACTTGACAGTATTAAGGAAAATGACTTCTGCGGTGCTTTTGAAGCGTGGAAACAATGACAAGATCCCTGTATACATTCCCAAGGAGACTGTTTTGAAGGATATAGCAGCCACAATTGAGAAGTTAAGCCAGCATTTCTATTTTTGACCTAGTCCAGGAACTTTCTGTATGTTTACTTGTAAACGAACCTCCTTTGTGTTTTTTACTTTATGCTATCTATGTTATATTGTAACAGATTCACATCAGCATAGACCAGTAGCTAACGTGCCCCATTTAATTTCAGTTCCACCTACTTTTCCTTGGACCTTCCTAATGGCATATTCTAAAGCAGTGGTGATAAAGCATCTCCTTGTTTTAGACCATTTTTGATACAAAAATTACAAATTTTTACCTATATGGACTTCACTGTATGTCTTGTTTAAACACATCTTAATCAGCCTAACTAGTTTCATGGGTACCCCAAATTCTATGAGAATACTGTACAGTGATTTCATTTTGACACTTGTTAGAGTGACACCCACTCAACATTCTACACGAAGTCTCACCAACAAGAACTGTCCTGCCATCTATCATCTGGGGCTGGTAAAACAGGCCAATTACTGGCTGATGTACCAAGTGGACTCAAGTCTCACCCCATAAAGCTAAAAAAAAAACTACTATAAATTTGTTACTCCACACCCAAGGAGACTTTGCCTGTGCCACCACACAGAAAAACTTCTTAAATGTCCTTTGTAAACATTATGACAATGGAAGTAGTTTCTATCTATGTGAATTTGTTCCTTTAACTAAATACAGAACAGCATCTTACCTTGGCAAACCACCTGGAATGCCTGCTCCTGGATTCCGGATCCCTCCTGGTCTCCCGAAGGGATTGAACACCATCCCACCTCCACGACTAAAAGGATCCAAATCGGATCGGCCCACACTCAATGGATCACGAATTGGATCCCTGAAAAATGTATGAATAATTGCATGGACCTCTATATTACAGAGTGATCATAAAGTCACGCAAGTAACAAGAAAATGCAACACACTGTAAAAGAGAAACGTGAAAAACTGTGACATGTTATGTAAATACAAAGCAAAATAAAAGAGTAGCAATCTAGACCTTAAACTAAAAGAGTAGCAGTTTATGATGTGTGATCAGGGCCCGGATTTTGATGACATGTCATCTTTTTTTCTTGTATCCTATGCGATGCTCTTAAATATACAGATCTCGGATATGAGCTGCTGGTTACAGAAATGTAAATTTTATAGGTCATTTTTTCATTTTGGGAGTAAGTTTTTGGACTTTTAAGGGTATTTCTTGTCAATTTTGACCATTTTAGGGAATTTTTCTTCATATGTTTTCTGAAATGTGAATAATATGGAAGTGAAGTGTTCCTTCTTTTCTCCTTTAGGTCATTTTTTAAATATCTTCAGGTCATCAAAATCTGGGCCCTGGTGATAATTTACCTAACTTGTGTTACTTCACAGTCACACTGTATAGACTGTATTTCATTATATAATCTTTAAAACGGTATACTAATGTGAGGATTTAAGAAAATGTTTTATGATAGAGAACGTCAGTCTGACTAAAACATTTCCGAAAACTGTGGAGGTCCTAAATGGGATTATAGGATAGCAAACTTCCATACTTATTTTGTTTTATTTGTTTCATTCTGGTCTGTCACACTAACAATTACAGAGACAAAACAACTCCGTCCAGTGTGACTATTGAAGTTATTGAACAACACAGGACAATACCAAGAATCTCCTTTTCAAGAGAGACAGGCGGCACAAGTTCAGGCCCCGTCAAGAAAGACAACAGGAGAAGGGACACAAACCTATTTGGTTCACAAATTTTAACTTAAATAACAAAGTTTTAAAAAACTTTAATATACGAAGAAAGCTGTTGTAGTTGTGAAAAAAAAAACTGGATTTTGTATATATTGTGCATTACAAACATTGTATGTATATGTACTTTAATACTAAAACACCCATTGTGATACTACTTTCAAAAAAAGTATTGATGTCCCTCTGATCATGGTCTATAGTGACCGAAACATGTAAGGGTGCTAAGTTTCAAGTAGTAAAAACTTCAATAGTCACACTGGACAGAGTTGTTTTGTCTTTGTCCCATACCTATAGTCTACTTTTCTTTCATAATGAAGAAAATAAAATAGGGCTAATTAAAGTATCACACTGTGTTTGAGTGTCTCATTTCAATTTATGCAATGCCGCTGAGACAATCCATATCTGAGGCCTTTTAGCCCAGTGGACAGACAGACTTGTGAGGTAGGCATCACGACAGGATCTCTGATCCTGAATGCCATATGATATTTTTCCTAGTGGGCCGAGACTGAGTCCACTTGCTACTGCGACAGCTATTTGGCCTACTCTACCAGCCCCAGATGATAGATGATGGTGATTTTGGAGGAATTGGTGGAATAAAGACTGGCAGGGGAAACAGAAGTACTCAGAGAAAACCTGCCCCAGCACCATTTTATCCACCACAAATCCCACATGACCACACCTGGGCTCAAATGCCTCACAAAATATTCAATTTTATTTAAAGTCATTTTTGTGTAGAATGTAAAGCAGGAACTTGGGAGCCTATCAAAAAATATTAATTTAGCTTTCAGTTTGACAGTAATAACAGGTCAGTGGAGCTACGAATTCTACTATGATGGATTACAAACATACTTACAAATTTGGTGTTAAATACTGTTATAATTCATCAGTTACATAGTGACAGTGTGAAACTTTTAACATAAAATTTGTATTTAAATTCTTCTCAAAGAGAACAAAAAATAATTTGCCAATATTTGTAATTGTGGGAGCACTATCCTATGAGTCAGAAGGTTGCAAGTTCGATTCCTGAGGAGGACAGTGAATTTTTTCAATTGACCTAATCCTTCCATCTGCACTATGGCCCTCAGGTTGACTCAGCCTGTGTAGTGGTAAACAGTTGCATAATCTTTTAACTGATCAACTGAAAAGGAAATATGAAGCAGTTCTGACCTATTCAAAAAATACTATCCTGGAATTCAACTAGACTATCAGGACTCAGAAAACCCACAAGAATCTCAGAGCAACCAGGCTCCAGGTCAAGATTTGAACATGGAATTGAGCAGGAGGGCTAACCCCTCCAATGCATGCAACATTTAGTGTGCTTTTTATAATCCAGATTATACAGCATGAATAATGATTGCACAGGGATGAAGGAAGCAGCCATGGTTTGTAGGAGACAAGAGGTAACCACACTGAAAATACTGAATTTTATCTTCTGATTAAACGTCTATACATTAAGTCCGTCAATAATGAACAATCATTAAAATATTCACCATTTAACACTAGCACAACATGTTTTGGCCACAGACAGCCATCCTCAGGTATTTCAATGTGTCCAAACTGTTACATTACTTTGATTCATGCTAAAATTGTGCATTGCAGTCCACTTAAAATAACATAAATAATTACTTAAAATTCATTACAATTTTGCTATTAAAATCTTTCGTAAAATCCTATTCCACCTCTTAAGGGGAGTCATTCACTTGTTTAAAGCTGTGTGATATTCCAGAGAGTTTCTTCAGCAGCTTGTTCTGTTTTAATTAGCCAGTTGTTTTGCTATGTCTGCAATATGCCCTTTGCTTGTGAGATGTTCCCTCCAGCAGCGTGTGGTGTCTTCACTAGTGAAACGACATGAAACAGAAAAAGCTGCTGCTGAAACAAACCACCTGGAATATCACATAGCTTTAAACAAGTGGACGACTCCCCTTACGAGGTGGAATAGGATTTTACGAAAGACTTTAATAGCAAAATTGTAATGAATTTTAAGTGGACTGCAATGTGCAATTTTAGCACGCATCAAAGCAGTGTAACAGTTTGGACGGATTGAAACACCCGAGGATGGCCGTCTGTGGCCGAGATAGGTTGTCCTAGTGTTAAATGGTGAATATTTTAATGACAGTTGCTTTATTAACAGACTTAATACACAGACGTTTAATTGAAGATGTGCAACAGGATGCTGAAATACAGAGTTATCTTCTGGGTTTTGATACTGTGTAGTCTCAGAGGTGATTATCAGCACTCTGAAGAAATTCAGTGCCTCCATTTTTAGTGTTTCACCATATGATGCCAATGTCTGAGATAACCACAATCTAAATGGTTTTGGTCTATTTGAAGATAGGAACCCAGATGAAACTGAAACTGATTACTAACCATCTGCTCAGTCCAATTCTGAAATCTGTAACAGCAGTTGACCCATTCAGCATATCGTAATTACATTAAAAAATGCGTACCAATCAGGATCAAATCCAACTCCTATGCCTCGCCTTGGCTGGCCAATCCGTAATGGATCATCATATTCATCTCTGGTGGGTGGGTTCAAAGGGTTAGGAGGTGGTTGAACCCTAGTCTCTGGCTGGGACGTCTGTGTTGTGGCCTCTTTGTTAGTACCAGTCACTACAGGGTCCAGTAGATCTTTCTGAATGGTTGTAATAATATCTCTATATTTTGGTACCAATGTTTCAATATCACCCTTTAAGTTTTTTACCGTATCTTCTACATTGAAATGGATTAGTGAAACGGACAAATCCGAGACACGCTGGAAAACAATATACAAACTATTAGCTCATGCCTGCACTACACACATTGCTGAAACATACCACAATATCTGAAATTAACAATGTTATAATAATTAGTTAACAACTATCATCGAGTTACGCAGATCATGCCTGTTTACTGAAAAAAAAAACTGAAATTTAAAAATGAAATTTTAAGTTTAGAAAAACGTAACAAAAAATCCTGATTATTTTATGATTCTAACATACTGACAACAAAAACGGTGTAGATGTAGGTTATCCTGTGGACCATGCTGCAATTACTGCATCAATAACGAAATACTATTCGGTATTAAAAAATGTACAAGAAACGGCACACCATACCACTAAGTTAAACACAATGTCCCCTTCAGTTTTCGTTCCCTTTAAAATATACAGGTCTTTATTGTGTACATATCGCAAGGCGTAAGTTTCCTTTGCACTCCAACAGTCGGGGAGTGTTTCTCTCCCAACATCGGAGGGTGTCAATGTTTTCTGAAAAATGCAAAATATAACACATTTTCACACTTCAAATTATACTTAATCATTACTGACAACTGGGGAAACACATCTCTACCATAAATTATACTTCATGACTTACGCTGTCACCTAACCCAATGCATTTAAAACCAAACTTTATAAAATACCAATGGATCAGAGCAACTAAAACATCTTCCTTCTTTGTAATATCGTTTTCAACAAGTTTGTAATTCCAATCCCACCCAAACATTGCCGACGCCATTTCCAAACGATACTCAGCGTGTATTAGCGAGTGTTAATAAATACGTTATTGCCTGGCAAAGCATCAGCCGTGACGTCACAGAATTAATACGCTGCCATCTATTTTCCTCGTTCAGAATATCGACGAATCATAGCTCCAGCCACTACCGAGAGCTAAGTCGGTAAGAAGGTTAATTACTATCGTTGCTTATGAAAAAGGTACTGACCTATGCTAACAAGGCCCCAAGAAATCCCTAGTTCAGAAAACAGCAATGACAAATTTTCCACCTTTATATCTTGTACTGCAGAGGTTGTTACACCATTTTTTGAAAGGTGTTTAACTAAAATAACTTCACTCATATATAACAGCAGAATGTATCTTAACATTGCCTGCAAAGTATGAACATTTCTCTTATGTCAACTATACATCCCCTTAACTGAAATATACTGGACCATTGTGAACTATATCATACGTAAAAGTCATATTCATAAGCGTTTAGGAAGGCTGAAATTCAGTGAACTTGAATGAAAAGTCTGTTTCCATCAGAGATATGTGTATTCAAATTCTTAACATCTGTTCAGAACTAAATTTAATATTGATTGGAATAATATAGCCAAAATAACACAATAACTGAATAAAATAATGAAAATATTATTAATAACTTAATTTCCAACCCAAAGATACATGAAATAGTCAGTTATGAAATACACATTAAGTCCTGATATTGCTTCTGCTCTTCAATGTTTCATGCTGAAGTACATAACCTGAACATTTGAAGTCAGTGATAAAATAACACCATTACATTCTTACCTATATACACACACAAGAAGCATGTGTGTCAGAAGATAATTGTCCATACAGTTCTCAATTTAAATATAATTCTTTCAAGATGAAGCACATGATGAATTCTGACCATCTTCTGAAAGCTGGAATTGAAGTCCAGAACAGGTTTCTTACACATAATCGCTGAGTGAGGGGGACGATGATGATCATGATATTGATGAAGTGCTCAGTACTAGAGTTGAGACAAGTGAGTGTGGTTCCATTGTAGTTTCTGTTGCTGCACCACAATTGTTTATCATCAATGTCACTATCCACAAATTATGAAACATGTAATGGTGCTCAGGTGAATGGTTGCCCCAGATATTCTTCCAGTAATCCAATAATTGCTCCCCGACGACTTCTAAGAGCCAAGAGCCAGTATGACAACATGATGTTATGTCTAGTATAGACAGTGGCACGTAACTTCGAAAAGGTCTCTGCATTCCTAGTCAAATCCTGTGCATAGTTTGTGGTGGGAGGAGTTTCTTAACACTCGTTCTTCCACTTTCACTGACCCCCTTCCACCCCCTTGTCTGAAATTTTTCTTCTGCGCATTCAAGGTTACTCTTGGCCTTGTTCGAAGTTACATGACACTTGCTATAACATGGATGTCAGAGATGATCCATGACAGAGAGGGAGCTTCAGCTTAACCCAGCAGCTTGCTGGTACATTCACTTAATTTCTGGTTGCTTTTTCATGCGCCCATTAAACCCTTTGATGTAATGTATGGATGATACCTTAATTAATATTGGATCTTGCTGGGTTTCTTCCTTCCCCACAGGAGCACTGAAAGTAATGCTACCGATATTGTTCTTTCTTGACAGGGTGAGGGAAAGAAAATACTGCTTCTGGTGATGAGGAAACGTTCCAACTGTAATCAGTTCCAATGGAAAGCACAGTGTATGTTACCCAGTTTCCTGAGTAATGGAGGCCATGTAGTTCATTCATTCATTTTATTTGGCATTCATAATTGCTACAACAGTAACACTTGAACAAGTCACATCATAAAATACATCATTCTTGAAATCCTTTTGCCCAAATACCTAAAGGATTAGAATTTGTCAGCAATAAATAATCACTCTTGACATGGTTAACCTATAATTAAAATATAACACACACTCTCAAAACCAGATAAATAATCGAATTAAATACAATATATAAATCAAAATGCAAATTAGCCTTATGGGTTTATTGAGAAAATTTTAAGAGTACTACAGTAAAGTGAAATGTGGATGTTATTTCAGAAGCTTAATTTTGGGGTATATTGTGCTGAAATTTAAAATGCAGTTTGTTTACCCAGTGCTCATAGACTTCCATTAGAGATGTTGATTTTAATTGATTTTATTAAGTTTCCTAGTTCATAACAGAAGGTGCAAACAGAGAGTCCCCTCCCATACTGCATAATGAGGAGCTCATCTACCTTATATAGGAGTCAAAGCAGAGAAATCTTTCCCTTTCACTGCACATCAACAAAAGAGTCCCCTAGCAGATGCTGTGTTGAATGGTAATATGGAGTATGTTCTCTGGAAATTGAAAACTGAAAGAAATCTTGAATTTGTGAAAGTATTAGAAATCAGGTTTGAGAGGTTTATATTCTGTCTCACATGTAGGTCATATCACTGGAAACACTGGGACAAGAATTATAATCTATGAATGCATAAACTTGTGTGTGTTTGTAATACTGTATAGAGTTCCATCACTGAAGAAATTTATTGTGAAAGTAACGAAAGGTGGCATTGATACCAATTGTATACATACCAGGGTTTAATAATGACTGGTTCGGGCATTCAAATGTTGGTATGGGGTGGGGATATAAATATACAGAAACAAGCAACAAGGAAAAGGAAATCAGGAAAGTAGGCTAAAAATATATTGAGTTGGCTCGAAGTAGGATTAAATGGTGAGCTTTTGTCAGCACGATAATGCGTCTCCGAGTTCCAAAAATGCATGAAATTTCATTACAACCCGAGTAACTGTCATGGATGACCACGCCATAGCTCAAGCAGTTAGTCGCTGGCTTCCCACCGCGGCAGCCCGGGTTTAATCCCGGGTCTGGTCAAGTGGGATTTGTGGTGGACAAAGTGGCGCTGGGGCAGGTTTTCTCCAAGTACTTCGGTTTCCCCTGCCAATCTTCATTCCACCAATTGCTCCACAATCACCCTCACCCATCATCTGGGTCTGGTACAATAGGCCAGAAGTGGCCACATTACAAGGGACTTAGTCCCACCCCACTAGCAATAAAAAAAACTGCAAAAGGAAAATATTTAAAACGCTAAATAAGTTACATCCTCTGAATAACAAGATGTTCTGGGAAGAACAAATCATCAACTTTTTTTCATTATATACCGCTACATACTGAGTATTTGATACGGCACCGATCATTCTATTGTTGCGTGTATATTCGTTGCAACGGTAACGTGTTTATGGAGCTGTTGCTTAGCAATAGCGTATCTTCTGGCATCACTATTTCGGCTTTGAGGCGTTGGAGGGAGACAGACACAGGCAGCAAGGTGATCTTCTAAGTCTCATTTTAGTTAATTTTTGCGAAATAAGGAAAATAGGCTAAAAAGAAAGGTGTCAGTCTTGTATTAGGCTCCGATTATCTCCAGCGAAACAAAAAATCAGATTTCTCCGGGTTTGTACCGTCTGGCAATAGGAAAAAAAGTCGTGTGCAAGGAATCAGAGGAATATTCGTTGTTGGAGAAGCCGTTACCAAGGAACTGCTAGTAAACACAGCACCGTTACCCAGCAACGACTAGTGAACACAGTAAACTGAGAAGACTTTGTCTGTCCTCTGTTTATTTATTTGGAAAGGTGTAGGACAGTAAAGCGCTATAACTATTTGTGGTCTCGAGCAATAAGCATCTAGTCACTAACACTTGACACTATAAGATTTTTTCTTTTGCAAACAGGAGAACAAGACTGTATTATGGCGGGAAATCGAAAACAAGAAAGGATGTGCAGTTATCATAAAATCGTCCACCAGATTATGGTGGTGATCCTTAGTAAGTATCATAATCATAATTTTAAAAAACGGTGGCAATATCTTATGAATTAACGGTTTTACAAAATCGACATTAAACTCGAATGTAATTTATTTATTGTGTTCGTCAATGCTCAGCTGATGAATATTGCGTAATTTGTCGAAAGACAAGGCGATTACAGAAGGTTTCAAGAGTACTATCTCGTGGGATATAACGCCGTGTAATTTGTTGGAAGTAAACCAACGGTTCTGTTACCACAACTTTCCAGAATATGTGGCAGGAGTGATAGTCAATATTGCCAACTAACTCAATTGAACGAAACTTACGGTAACTTTGATTTTGAGGAAATCGTTCTATGGAAGTCTGACGTTCGTTGCCGTAGTTAGAAGATACCGTTTCTTGGTCATATTCTGAAGCAAATTAATCCGGTCGATCCGGTCCGCCTCCTCACTCTGCATCCTTAAGATCCATTTCAATTTTATCCTTTCGTATACGCCAAGGTATCGTAAGTTGAATCTTTTGCTGCAGGTAAAAAGTGTTAATATTCATGGAAACGTGTAGGTGTACAGTCGGCATTTCAAGTATGTGAAAAGCGACTGTCATAAAAACTTTTCTTCAGAGCGTAGAATTGCCGGCTGAATAGTTCCGATTATGAAAAACGACACCTAACGCGAAGACGCGTATGTATAGTACATTCTTTTTCCACACAAACCCATGGGATAGGTGTTCCTGTGCGAATATTATACAGCAGTAGACTTGGTGGTTGCTGTCTCTTTTTCTTTTAAATAGAAGTAAAACAATAGCGTTGCAGTAGCATAAAGTAAGCATGTAAATGTTACGCATTAATTTATTTATTTATGGTTTAACTACACTGTTAATAGCTTATCCTATACAGCGGCGAATGTTAGGGTGCATAATGGTTTTGAAAGGTCGTGGTGTACTTTTAGCTAATGTCCAGGCATTTGATTGGAGAGACTGAACATAACCTCAAACGACCTCAAAGCACTGGGCATGATGGTCTGTCATTGGGCCGAGATTCGAACTCAAGATCTCCCAAATAAAATTCGGTGTGGAGTAAGTTACAGTTTATGAGGAAGGAACAAGGGCAGAAGGCATTGTTCTCTGATTGTCCCTCATACTTTCAGAATCTGAATTTATAGTCCTGAATGATTCAGGTCAATGAATTTGTCCATACTGTCACGTTCATTTCCTGGCTGAATATATTCCATGGTATTTATGCTTAAGGCCTTGTTTACTAACATGTATTATTTATCTCATATATTTAAATCATTTTACATCTTTATTCCAGTTGCAGTAACAACATATCTTTGTCTAGAATTTACGTCTGTTGTTTGGCCTCTCACAAGCAACAAGGAAACAGAAGTTTATGTGCTGAGGAAGGAAGTACAGTTTCTCAGAACAGTACTACGAGTAAGTATAAGTGTGAAGGCCACTGGAAAATGAAGCTGAATGTAATCACTTACTGAATTCACCTATGCATATTGTGATATGACAACTGAAAGTCAGAGTACACATTCATTGCTAGGTCATGACTCAGTAAAGAGGTTCCCACAGCAACGAATATTCGAGCAACACTCGAGGTATTGCTGGTGTAAAGATGGAAGTAGTGTAATGTATGGGTCTATCCCGAGGCTATATAACGAGGATCCCAGGCCAGCTGAAATAATTGAAGTGTCTGTCAAAAATGATTGAGAATAGAAGTCAGCAAGTTCAGTTGAGAGTTGAAAGTCAGTCTGTGAAGTAAAGTGTGTGTGATTTGAAGGCCTTGTGTATGCTATTGAATTGAATTTTAATTGAATTTATTTACATTCTATAAATCCTAAGCAGGTTAGTACCTTTGGATACAGAACAAGTCAAAAGGTTACATACATAAGTACAGGCAATTTTAGCTTAAAAATTAATATAACTTAATTTTACATCATTCTCTATTTACATTGAAGTATTCATCTAAAGAGTAGAAGGAATGAGCATGTAGATAATTCTTTAACTCTGATTTAAACTTTT